CTGAAAAATGGAACAGCTTGATTAGGACTAAAATCTTAATGGTTTCTGACTACTTTAGTGTGTCAGGTATCCTGGTCACAAATGAAAAGAAAATTAATGGGGGGGGAAAGGGAGGATATGAGAGGGGCAACACTATCAGTTATCACCAAAAGCCATGATTACAATTTCAATTATTCATCAGGGATATGAATATGATAGTCATTAGTGTAAATGAAGGGGTCCCAAACAAACAAGTTGTGAAAATTCTATTAGTAAATTGGGTAAGATTATGTGCCCAGGCTATATACATTTTTATAATCGTTGCAATGTATAAAACCAAGTTCCTCTAGAAGGAGAATGTGTAATTCACTGAAGGGGTTAAGATAAGCCTGGGAGAATAAGAGAGACATATAAGCAAATATTCTAACAGACTAAAGAGAAACTCAGAGGTAAGAGAAAAGCACATGATTTGAAATTGAATAACAAGACCCTGGAATTATGCTTTAATTGAACCTATCATATGATGAATGTCACTGCATATCAAATTAGTCTGTTGTGAGTTTCCAACATTTATGAGCAAGTGACTTACTATATGACCCCTTCCTGCCATTGTCTGCCCATTTATTCATCTTTGAAATAAACATTTGATATCTACCACTTAAAGTTCAATCATAACAATGAGACCTTGCCAAAGAAATATATATATTCTTTTACAAATGTTTATATACATATGCAGATGTTTCTAAATATCATATATTATAATTTAGATTGCTTTAATGATTATTGCTCTGGGAATGGGTCATGAACATTAATTTCCCTTTGTGGCTGAAACTAGACATGGGGATGTTCAGTGGATAGTAAGTACCGCCACATTGCGTAGGTGAATTTGAGCTGGACTGGAGTTTCATTGGTGGCGGTGGAGGAGGTGGTGGTGGTGGTGGTGGTGGTGGTGGTGTGTGTCTGAAGTTGGGGCAGGATAGATTCTGGAGTGAACCACTATGGATATTGTCCAGTAATGTAAGAAGGAAAGTGAACTTTGCCTCCTCTGCAACAGGTATGTTCTTGAATTCTTAATCCAAACAGTCATCTGCTTTGGACTAAAGACACTCTGAGTCTCTTATTCACAGCACTTACTAGATTCTCTCCATTATATAAAACTTTCAAGATATAAATTTATTGTTAGAAATATGACACTAAATAGGATGGCAAGTTTTCCAATAATGGGCTTAATTATAGAGACTGGGTTAATACAGGCTATATACTGACTACTGGATCCTCTGTTATTTGCTTCCCATTGAGCTGTAGATATTTGATTAAGAGACTTGTAGAATTTTAGAGTTAAAACGGACATTAAACAAAACAAAAAGGTTGTTTCCTGCTGTTACTGTGATTGTCATGTATAATACTGTCAATCACACCTAAAATTAAATTTCTTTCTCCACCTCACATAGCAATTTCTTGTCAAAATAGCAACTAGATTGTATTTCTTGTGTTGGCAAAATGTTGACATAGATTATTGTCCATTTTCAAATTAGCATTATTTTAATCCTCATTATGTAATCTACAAACATAATTTCACTTAATCTTTACAACAGTCAGGGATAGTATTATTATCCACATTTTATAGATAAAGAAATTGAGACTCACTGGGTTTAGTAGTCCCAAAATCACACAGCCAGTAAGTAACAGAGTCTAAATTTCAGCACAAGTGTGTCTGACAGAAAGGCTACATACTTTTCTCATTAAACATATAAATTTAGCCTAGTTGTTAGAAAATGATCTTGAACTACAAAACCAATAATTCATATTGAGCATGCACTTTTGTGGGTGATTAGAATAATCAATCTAAATATTTGCTTGGAATAATCAATAAACTGTTTCCCTATCCTCTGTGAATACCTACAAAGAAATTGCACATAATCTTACCTAATGACCAGTAAAATAACTGAGTATAATTTTGGTGACCAAGTGGCCAACTCTGCTAAGCATCAGGATATGACGATGGAAAGGTCACCCTCAACTGCCCTCCCCTGCTGGCCCGGTTGCCCCTAACTGCCCTTCCCTGCTGGCCTGGTCGCCCCCACTGACCTCCCTGCAGGCCTGGTCATCTCCAATTGCCCTCCTCTGCTGGCCTGATTGCCCACAACTGCCCTCCCTTGCTGGCTTGATCACCCACAACTGCCCTCCCCTGCCGGCCATCTTGTGGCTGTGGGAATCGCCATCTTTGAGGGTTTGGAAGTCAATTAGCATATTCCTTCCTTATTGGCTGTGAGCGCCACCATCTTCGCAATGGCATGAGGGTCAATTAGCATATCCCTCTTTATTAGATAGGATGTTTACATACACATATATACACACACACACATACACACACACACACAAGGTTTTTATATATAATTATATGAATGCATACAGTTTCAGTTTACAAAAAGTGCCATAAGGAACCATAAAGCACAGTAATATGAAAAGTAAATGTTATTTTAGATATCATAGAATCAGAATACAAGTACAATGTTGAAGAATACCTGTACAATATTTAATCACTGGCCATCTGAAAGCTAGGCTGTTATTTCCTCTTTCTAAGTACAAGGCAGAAAATATTTTAGTTCATTAAAAGTACTTTTTGCAAAGCAGTGCATTTCCCAAGAATGTAAAGCTACAGATTTTATATTTCTAAACTTAATGTTGAGAACTTGAGTAAAAATTCTAAATCTATCTGAAAAACAATTATACCTAGGAGCTAGAATATCTCTGCTGTACCATTTTATTTCATCAGCTTACATAAGAAAACAATTTTATGAAGATACTAAGCATTACTATGCAATTAAGATTGGTTGCAAAACCAGTTTTAATCTATTTTTTCCAGGCTACATTTTCCTATTAGTGATAAAGTTCAAAGACATTACGTTTAGAGTATTAAATTTTAATGCTGGAAAAAACCCAGTCTTCTTAGTAAAAAGTGAGTGGCATTGGCAAAACAAAGCAAAATTAAGACACATAAGGAAAAACAAACAAACTAGTGTGTAAAATTCCTCTTCTAAGAAAAAAACAAAATTGATCCCTTAAATATTTAATTTAATATTTACTTTTTATATCTTTGAATAAATTCCATTTTAGAAGATTGCTTAAAATGCTATTATTTAAATTATTTTTCTTTTTGGTAATTTTGATTGTGATGAACAGAAACCAGAACAACCAGAATTTTGGAGAACGTTTAAAGACATAGAAAACTTTGATCATTTAGAAATTTGGCTTTGAGGTTCACCTGAATTTATCTTCAAGGATACAGTGTCTAACACCTTGAACACACCATCTACTGAATGAAACACCACCTTACATCAAAGTAAAAGAACATGCAATAGGTATCAAAGCAGGAAATCTCTTGTTTTGATCAGCATCAGTGAAAATTAAGTAATCCTTTTCATATTCTCTCCCAATTCTGAAAAATGAATTCTCCGTACCAGGCCAACACAGACAAGATTAGTCCAACATTTGTGACTGCGTCAATATACATTCAAATCCTAAGCAGACAAACCCTACTCAGTTATGAGAGCTGACAGTGTCCCCGCTCCAGGCGATAAGGCTTCAGGCATTGCATACACCTTGCTACCTGCAGCAGAATAAACACTGACAACTTGACAGTTTGTCAATTGCAAAGCCATTCAGTCTTTCTGAGACATGGAGATACTAGGAGTGGAAACAATTTTGTACACACATCTAGTAACTACTGTCATTATTTGTATGGTAAAGTTTTCTCTTGATAAGTATCCTTGAAGACATTGTGTGTGTGTGTATGTGTGTGTGTCCATGTGAAAAAAAAAACTGCCCCATTTATAAATAGAGCTGTCAATCCGCAAACTAATTCAAAGTACCCTTAAAGTTACTTGAGAGCTTAAAAGTAGAAACAGACCACAGTAAATGCACGTACAGGTAATAAAATTATATTTAACACTGTAAAGAAATGAGTATCATAAAATTCAGACTATTGGTTATACTATACAGAAGGGAGGAGGTTGGGAATGTAGTATGAGCGGGTGTTTAGGATGCTTGGTATGTCCTATTTCTTGACCATAGTAGTAGTTGTTTCCTTGAAAATAATTCACAACACTATCCTAATATTTTTTGCAGTTTTCTATGTTTATTATGCTTCAATATAAAACAATAATTAAAACACATTAGAATAGTTTCAGCTCCTCTAGCAGAGGTTTTTATTGCTGATTAGAACAACTCCTTAATTATGTCTAAGTTTCTCTGCATCCTATACTCAACACTGAAAAGGAACAGATACTGAAAGAACCTCTTAACTTGATACAGCAACATTATACAATTAGAAATTTATAGTTATGAACCCTGTATGCACATGTAATTACCTTGGGTTTTTTCCTACCTCAAATATGTAAAAATGGCAAATTCAAACTATAGCAGCCATTTCCCCAGGGGCTTTTATATTTCTCCTCAAGAACGTCATAGTTCCGGGAGTTCATGAAATATTCTTTACTGCCCTCAGTTTCTTCTTACATGTGATCTGAAGTATAGCGCCAGAGCTCAGTTCCTGCAAGCCATTTGCTACTTCTGCATGCCACATAGAGAAGCTGAAATACTGAAATGTCAGTTTTATAGAAGGACTTCACTCTTACTAAATGAAATTCCTCTAAGCTCTTTTTATGATTTTGTGTATGTTACAAGTTGAAAACCACGCAGCTATGCATTGTACAAATATTAAATTCATTACTTTACAAAAATTATTATAATGAATGAAAGATTATGCTAGTTCCCTAGGAAACCATCAGATTCCTGTACCCTTCTTCCTTTAAATTAGCCTATGAAGCATAAATAGAATTCATTGACTAAAACTTCTGGTAAGTACTTAAGGTCATTTAAATGTCTAATTCTCCCCCTTTCTTCTTTTATAAATTACAGTAGAAACTGCAATGTATACTGTGAACGTATTGTATAAAGACATTCAAACACAACCACAGTTACTGCACAAAAAGCATATTTATCAATGTTTCTGGTCTTACTTTGCGAATGCCTCGGCCAAGCTCCTCTCCATAGTTGGTTCCAAGAATTTCAAAGTGGACGTTGGGATTGCCTCCATTTTCTCCAAATTCTAGCTCTCCAGTCAACCCACTAACTCCACCCTAAAGCAGAGAAAAGATACTGATGTAAGTTTTCAGAAAAAAAGTAAAATAATAATAATAATAAAGCATAAAAGATAGTTCTAGTAAAACAATTTCCACCTATAAAATAAATATTATTGAAAGCATGCAATTTTTAATAGGCTACTTTTTAATAAGTGCCCAGCATAAATTGAAGAGCAATTGAAAGTAATCTTGAGAATCACTTAATCCAAGTTTATCCACTTCACAGACAGAATATTTAGATCCAACGAGTCAAATGATTACACAAACTGACAGGATGTTCCCGCTGAGACTGAATCCCAGGCTAGGTTTGTTGCCTTCATACCTTCTGACACACATGGATCCATCAGTCAGAAAACTAGATGCTTTTGGAGAGAACAGATCTGCTCTGGAGACACATTGGATAATATTCTTTCTCAGCACAATGCCATTCTAATTGGACCTTAAGTGATTTCTTGGATTCTAAAAGCCAGGGTTTATAACCTATTAGAGGTTTATTTTTCCTCCTTTTTAAAATATCTTGTCTAAATGTAAAAAGGAAAGCTAAATTGGGCTTGAAATCTGTTTTTGCTCTTAACCAGTAGTGCTGGCTGTGGAGATTCATTGGGAATTTCCAAGCTTCATCTCTCATTCAACATGGCAGGTGTTCATTTTCCTAGCAGATGGTAATGTAGGTCAGACTTCTCTCTTTCTTGTTTTCCATTCTTTTCTCGTTTTAGTTTATCATTTAGGATTTTATAAGTAAAAATCATATTCGGAATCACTTCTAAACTACAGTACTTCTAACTTGGAATTTTAGGCTGGTAACCACATTTATCTGAACAAGTTATCTCAGTTGGTACATTGCTTTAAGTATCACCTCTATATTGATAATTAAATGTACAGACAGTCCCCAATTTATGATGTGTTTTGACTTACGTCTTACGCTTTTTTTTTTTCAACTTGGCAATGGTGCAGAAGCAATTCAAATCAGGTATGAACAGTGCTTGGCATTTTGATTTTTTATTGTTAGCCCCCTGAAGTTCGATACTCTGGTGATGCCGGTCAGCAACAGTGAGTACAGCTAGGAGTCAGCAATGCAATTGCGAGGGTAAACCCCTGGTACTCTCGAGGGCACTTAGTTACCAGCATTTTTTGGATATTGTGTCCTGAGCACATTAAGATAAGTTAGACTAAGCTATGACGGTTGGTAAGTTAAATGAACTAAATTCATTTTTGACTAATAATATTTTCAACTTAGGTTTATTGGGACATAACCTCATCATGTGACAGAGCACCTGTATTTCATTTGCCATAACCTCTAACTTAACTTCTGGTCTTTATTGGCAGATATTATGCTAACTGCTATATCTCCTACTGCATATGTGTCTTATATCCGTTGCATGATGCTAAGTTCATAATAGGCATTCAATAAAACTATTGCTTACTCATTACTTTTAGTATTTAATCTATTTCATTTTTCAACAGTTATAACCAGCAAAATTGATCCTCCATAACTATTTCCTAATGAGCAACTTCTCTTTTATTATCCAACTTTATTAATAAAAATATGTTGAATTTGATGGTTCTGTGCTCTTCTCACGTATGATTTAGTCAACACCATGGATTTGGTCTATGCTGTCAGAATCTACTGGTTGTGTAAACCTGGATAAGTTATTTAATTTCTCTATGTCCCAATTTCAACATCTGTTAAATGGGATTATTATAAAATAATAGTACCAAACCCAGAAGGCCATTTTGATTTTTATATTACATGTAAAGAATATAGTAGTGTTCAATAAATTGTGGAAGTTTAATTACTATCATTATCACCAGCATTACCATCTATGTTATTTTTTCATTCTCTACTTTTGAAGGTTAATTCTGCTAAAAATTGTAAGCATGATCCTGATTTTTCAACTAATGTTTATTAGGGTGACAAAATGTCACTATATGCTTGAATATTCACATAGCTTTGGAAAATATTTTTTTTCAAAATTTGACTCAATTACATTTAACCAATTAGTGCTTGGATAGAAAAGAGTTAATGCAACTGTTCCAGGACCTGTTCACTCCTTTTACTGTTGGAGGGTAAGGATAGGGTGAGAAAAAAATAAAGGAGATAAATTATCCAATTCTTTCAAGTCAGTTATATCCTGCATGTTCGCTCATACTAATATTTTAAAGAATTCAATTATCACTTAACATTTTAAAGATCAGGATAAGTGTAGTGGATCTTATGATCATTAATATCTACAAATGGTAAATACAGTGGGAATTTGACTTACAAAAATAGTATATATTACTACATTTAAGTTCAAATAACTGGTATTCAGTAACATTTTATAAGAGCTTATCTTATCCTTAATCACACTTTAGTAATATTCTTAAAATGTCATAATCTTAATTTTTTGTCATAGTACTTTATTTCTAAGAAAAAGAGGAACTATATTGTATGTCAATATGATTTTTTAATTGCTAAAATGCTATACTCCTATAATTTCTCAACTTTTGAACATTAGACTTCCTGGCACTGCATTATTATTATTAGAGGCCTGGTGCATGAAATTCGTGCATGGAGTGGGGGTCTCCTCAGCCCAGCCTGCACCCTCTCCAATCCGGGACCCCTTGGGGGATGTCCAACAGTTGGACATTCCTCTCACAATCCCAGACCACTGGCTCCTAACCACTCACCTGTCTACCTGCCTGAATGCCCCTAACTGGCCCCCTGCCAGCCTGATCACCCCTAACGGCCTCTGCCTGCTGGCCTGATCACCCCTAACTGTGCCCCCTCTGCTGGCCTGGTCACCCCCAACTGTCCCCCCCACTCTGCCAACCTGGTTGCCCCACACAGCCTGATGTTCGGTCGTTACTATGACAGCATCCTGGACAATTTGCATATTCCTCTATTATTAGTATAGATTCCAAACCAATACTCATATGGCCATTGCAGGCCAATGTCTTAATTCTTAGCTTGTATCTAGTACTGAGCATCTTAGTCCACTTACATTACACAATGAATGAAACCATAAATCAGGGACCTGTATTTAGTTTACTGTGGCCTACTTTGTTCACCTTATGACTTTGTAATTTATCTCCTTTATGTTATATTATTTTCTAAAAACATTTAAAAATTTTTTTTATTGATTTCAGAGAAAAGGAGAGAGGAAGAGAGAGACAGAAACATCAATGATGAGAATCATTGATTAGCTGCCTCCTACACACCTCCTGCTGGGAATCAAGCCTGCAACCAGGGTCTGTGCCCTTAACCAGAATTAAACCTGGGACCTCTCAATCCAAAGGCCAACACTCTATCCACTGAGACAAACCAGCTTGGGCTTTATGTTATATTCTTAATGAACATTTAGCATGTTTAACCAGTAAAACCTTCTCATGAAGATGGAAGGGATGATTGAGAGGTATTTCAAGCAAATAAACCCTTCAACTGACCCACACTTGAATTCTGATTTTTGATTGCTCAAGAATATTCCCATACTCTTCACCTTTTTTTTTAATTATTTATCCTCATATCAGCCTTGTAAACAGAACCTTGGCCAGGTGGCAATGAACAGTCATTGTATTCATGCATGCACAGTTATGGTTTTTAATCTCTTGATGATATAGCAGATTCTAAACAAAATAAGCTAATGGGGCATTGATAGTATGAATAACACATAAATGATTTCTCAATGTCCTTTAAAATGAGAGTAAAATTTGCCGCCAGAGAAAACCAGTAAAATTGGTTTGGATTGCATCCTACCCTTTCCCCATTGAGCATCAAATATGGAAAGCATAAGAGAAGAAAAATTAAAAGTGTAGAATCAAGGTTGGGAATAATTTACCATTGGATAATCAGTTTCTGAAAAAGGAAATTTTTTTTTCCTTAACAAATAGGATAGATACATTTGAAACAAGAAGAAAAAATATTACTAAAAATTTATTTCACTCTGTTTATGAGGTTGAAGAATTTTCTTCTATACTGAGTCTGCAAACTAACATAGATTCTTTTGGTAGATCATATGGAACATCAAGTATTTTACACTCATCTAATTTCCTTATACATATTCCTAGGCTCCTTGCAACCTACAGACTTGCTTGGTAACCAAGGACACCTTGTTAAATAAACATGAGCCCTGCAAGGCTGTGAGCACATTGAGAGATGCCAGACTTAGTGGCATGTCTTGATACCCTCATGTTTCATAAGTTAATTTCAGATAGAGAAATACACACAGAAGGAAAATACTACTTTTGCTACCCAGAAAAGAAATATAATGGGTAGATAAATACTAAGATACATGATGCAAAATAAAAAAAAATTGAAAACAAAAAATAATTTATGTGAAATGGTTAGGGAAATTTGATATATATATATATATATAAAATCTCAAAATATTCATTTATAATAGAGACTGGAGGCAAATTAAAAATGGTAGGTTACTAGCTTAGCTTACTGATCATGCTATTTACATCTCAGGAAAGAAGAAATTGAGGCCCAGACAACTAGCTATTTGAGGTATCTGAACTAAAACCTTCATCATGTGCCTCATACTTGTTCCTCTAAATTATGTAAACTGAGTGTTCTACATAACATATGTATATCATGGTGGATTGCTTAAAATATATGTTGAGTTAACTTAAACTATACCATTTTACCCACTTTATGATTCAAATGCCATTGTAGTTGGAGTATACACTGAGTCCACAATAAAAATATTTCAAAGGCAGACTGATTTTTTAAAAACATTTATGGCAACAAGTGTATCTGTGCACATTTTGTACAGAGGCTAACTTATATTCCAAGTCAATACTATTTCTGGTAAATCAGGTTATGTTTTCCAAAATTCTCTCTCTCTCCTTCAGGTGTATGAATTCTAAATGGTACCTAGTGATTTATATAAAAAACAAAGTAATAGATTTCCATTCCTCAAGTATACAGATGCAAAAACAACAACAAAATCCCCAACTTTCCAGAGTTATTTTTGTCCAAGTCATTTTCTTCTTCTTCTTCCCACGCATTCATG